GTAGCCTCTTCTGACACCAGCAACTGCTCCTCTCCTCTTCCAATCTCGGGCATCTCCCTAACCTCTGCTTCCGCTCTCTTCCTCTTAGAGGAGCGGGAGGATGAAGATCCTGTTAATCTGGACACTGTGACTCGGGAAGACGGGCTGGGGGACAGCTTCAGTCTAAAACAGGAGGAGAAAATGATGCTGCTGGAATCAATGCTGTTGCAACGATCCCAACAGTCCAATCTGATCCAAGTATCACTTTCCACACATCCTACCCACGGTGCCTACAGTAAGTACCCGCTCTGATGGCATCCTCGTGATAAAGTACTTGATAAAATACTTCTACTGTGGAAAAACACTCGGTATCAGCAAATACCACACATACAGATACCTTGGCTTCAGGTACCTCAAGGTACAGATGAGATTATGACTTCTATTTATTTATTTATTTTTAGCCCAATCAGTCTCATTCACCTCCACAAGGGCTGAAACAGTTCAATGATGTGAGAACATAGGCCAGTCTGAAACTGGATTTCACGCATTTATCACTTTGATTCAGTTTATAAAGCACACCACAAACATGTGCACCTGTGTTCCTCTCCCTCCAGCAGTTTCCTGTATGCATTGATCTCCATATCCAGAGCCAGCTTCACATCCAGCAGCTCCTGGTATTCACTGAGCTGAGCGTTCATCCGGTCTCTCAGTTCAGCCATTTCTTGTTCTTTTGCTTCGATGGCACGGCGGTGCTTGTCTCGCTCAGACGACAGAATTTCTTCCAACTCTCTGATACGATCTTCTGAGGCAACCACCTACAAAAGCAAACATGCAGACACCACCCAATTAAAACCAAATAGCAAACCACCAGAAATCCTGAGCTGTTTAAGTGATTTAAAGTGTGGGAGAGGTCTCCATTTGGGTGTACTGGTGTCCATAAAGCCACACCTGTTTCTGCAGGGCGCTGAGCTGGTACCCAAGGCTCTCTATTCTGGTACGAGACTCCTGCAGCTCCTCCCTGGCTGAGCTCATTGCCTTGTCATTAATCTCAGATGACACTTTGGCATTATCCAACTGCAGACAGAACGAGACAGATAGCATATTTGAACACGAGGAGCATAAAACAAAAAGAAAGAAAGGTGGAAAAGACAAACATGTGTCTCTCACCTTGGCCTGAAACGTTTGCTCCAGTTCTTCCTTATAAATAGAGACTTGCTCATCATGTTGCCTCCGCAGGTCCTGGATGGGATCACACAACTCCGATTAACATTCGTTCTCAACAGAAAGCCTGCTGAGCAGTGCTGACACAGATGTGAAGGTGAAATTTAGCATCAACACAAACACAGTACAGACATAATAATATATACATAATATACTTGCCAAAATGGTTACAGAGAAAATTAACAAGTCCTAGCACGCAATGTGAAATTGTGCAGCATTTTACAGTCAGAGCCAACCAGCATGCTCCTGTGCATGTGTGCACAATTTTCAAAAAACAACTAGAATTGGTGTTTCCAACACAAGATTTATCAAGGAATAACAACGTGAACTCATAGTGACCTCAGCAGATTCGTGCTTTCACAGTGCTACCAAAAGATATTAGGGTCAGCTGCTGATGGCAACCTGCCCAGGTGTACGGGTACCTACAGAAACCTTTGATAACCGAAGTCTGAGAAACACAGTACTGGTTTTCTTTTGGTGCCACAGGCAAAAAAGAACTAAAAACTGACTGATACTAAAAATGCCTTTATTATTTGTATGATAACATTTGTTTTTCAATGACTGTAAATATACTGGGTTGTAACAGCCACAGACACAGGAACATCAGAAGTGAAATCATACCTGTAAAGCTTGTGCCAGTTTGAACTCATAGTCCTGTCTGACTCCAGAGTCCACCTCCACTATTCTCTGCTCATGTCGACGGCGAGACTCACGCACCTCCTGAGCACAAGAAGTGAGTTAAGTGTAACAGAAACGTCACCCAAAGAAAACCCAAAAACTTTGCCACGTTAAAATAGAGAGGGAAAGAAATCTGATTATGCAAATTAGACTTTATGGCAGTCTTGTGCACATGCACAGTATTTATGACACAACCCTTACCTCATCAAACATAGTCTTCCTGAACTCCAGCTCTTCACTCAGTGACTGACAGCGGTTCTCCAAGTCCACACGCATCAGCGTTTCTGCCTCCAGCTGGCGTTTACCAACAGCATGGCTGTCCTCTGCCTACACATCATAAGACCGGGACATTTATTAGCACATGGACAACATCAGGCTGATTGGCTGGCTCTTCATGACCAAGCAGAGAACATTTGTCATGTTAGTCTGGCATACAAAAAGTAAATGAAACATTTACTTTTGGGGACATAATACCCAACTGAAAAGTTAAACACAATAAACCAGAATATATCCCAAGCATATCATAAAAATTGTAATATCAATCACGATTGAAGTATTGTGGTGATCATATATTATCATTTCTAATGATTCAACCATTTCTAGATATATTTTTTTTCTGGCTTCATTTTTTTTACTAAACATCTCGCATCTTTCCCACCTTGGCCAGCAGGTTCTTGACATCAGCTAGCTCAGAGCTCAGAGCAGCATTTTGGCTTAGAGCTGTTGAAAGAGCTGCTTCATTCTTGTTCAGCTGGGCTTCCAAACCACTGGCCCTGGACATTGCTGCAGCAAGATCACCATCCTTTTTCTTTATACTGGAACAAATAGACAAGGAGGCAGAACACAATTATTATCTTTAAGTGGTCACTTAATGGACCTTACAAGCAAACATCCCAAATCTTTAGCCACGTTAACACGATTTCAAATAAAAAAGTATTTGATAAGGCGTTACCTGCGTGTAGCTTCTTCCAGGTCAGCCTGAGCCTTGCCCAGATCTATCTGGAGCCTGGCTCTCTCTTTAGCAGTTTCATCCAAAACTCGCCGAGCATCAGCCAACTCTGCCTCATACAGAGCCTTTAGGCCTGTTACCTAAAGAGAGGGATGCAAAACACATTACCCGGTGGCTTGGCTTGGTGAAGAAAACACTACTGCCTGTTGCAGGATGGAAAGTCTTCTGAGTGGTTGCATGTTACAACAGAAGGACATGTTTCTAAAGTTCACCTTAAAAATGTAAAAAACAAAACAAAACAAAAAAACCCCAACCTATTTCTTTTTTTTTCTCCTTTCTTTTCTTTTCTTTTAATCAGACAGAGGATTATTACATACACTAAACTAGATATACACTGTGGCTTCATTATTATGTCTTAAATTTAAATTTGTTCCCGTTTGAATTTTATCTGAATAAATAATGAATTGAAAAAATTAAAAAAATAAATAAAAATAAATAAAATTCTTTCAATCAAGCATTGGGAGCAGCGTTAAATTCAACAGTCAGAGCAGCCGTTTCCAGCTGACCTAATTTCATTCAGTATCAATTATTCTGAATGAATAGATCCAACTACCACAACTACACACACTGTGTGACGTTTTCAGTTACTATATATAATGTTAGGATGTAACAAAAGTAATTACTGTCTGAAAATAGCCTTGAAGCTTTTCTTTCACTGCTGCCACCACATTGGACTTTCCGAGTCTAAATAAGACTCAACTAACAGCAAAGAGGAAGTGCATTAGCATTTGAGCAAAAAAAATACCCCTTAAGTACTTCATGGGCATCTATAAAACCTATAGAAACCAACCATCGCATGTTGCTTCACCAGTGGCAAAAAAGGTGAAGAGAAAGAAGACAGAACAAAGCAAGGAAGACTGGTACAACCATTTACACAATGGAGAGAGGTTCGGGATTTAAGACTTTCCAAAAATGTCAGCAAGCACGTCACGGAGCCAGAATTTTTTTTAAAAAAAAACTTGCCTGCTTATGATCTAATTTACTTTTTTTTTTTTAAATTACCTTAGTGTCACTGGAATTTAAAATAACATTTTTAGAATTTATATTACATTATTAAGTAGCAACCCTGTCCGTGTTAGCCACATTGGTAACTACTCCCTGCTACCTGCAGTAGTACAAAAATGACTCATGTTTTTTAAAAACAAACAACAACAACAAAACAGCAGAAAACAGTCACAAAGGCAGGCTTGTTAATTCAGTTAGCACTAGACATGCCAACCAATAAAACCATAAGGTAGCACTGAGTGATTGCTAACATAAAAGAACACGTTTAGGGGCTCTCCTTTACTCTTTATAAAAGAAGGAACTTTGGAACATAGTATATGAAAGTGTAAAAAGGGTGGACAAGGCCAATTTTTCGCAAATGTGGTTATTGCGTGCGTTCATCGCTGTGTTGATTGAGGTTGCTACTTTACAAGAAAAA